AATAAAAATAATGGTAATACTAATAATAGTCGTAACAATAGTGATAGTAATAATCATCATTGTAACAATTGTAGTAAACATGATATGGTAGTTTCCCAAAATAGGGGGACCCCAAAATAGACACCAAAATATTATGATCCTTATTACGGGGACCCCCAAAAGGGTGGCTAATTTTGGGAAACCCCCATATTACGCTACACTGCTACATGTATGTACGGACTATAGATACGGAGTAATGTTGGCAACTAGTCGAGCTTCCACAGCGCACTCTAAGGCCCAGAACCTAGGAAGCATGAAGCACCAAGGCGGTTAAGTCTTTAGGGTTTAGAGTTGAAGGTTTAGGGTTCAAGGGCTTCGAGTTTAAGGGTTTAGGGTTTAAGGCTTTCAGGGTTTGAAGGTTTAGGGTTTAAGGTTTAGGGGTCCTTCCTGTACACAGGACACCCCACCACGGTTTTTTCTTATGGATACCCTCAACCTGCTGAAGGGGTGATTGGGAGGGAACATGGGTACTGCCATAGGTGTTACAGAAGATCCCCAATTGTCCCTTGAGCACCAGTACGCGGTGGGAATCTGCTTGATCCCCTGATATTCAATATCCTCTAAAATGTTACACTATGCCAGATTGCTGGGTTGCTGTTAAGGAACATGTTTGAATTACTATAAGGAAAACCCATTCTTTACTATAGGTATACTTGGTTAAAGTTCCTTAACAGCAACACAGATTATGAATATTAGGGGGAGGAGATTACTGAGCCAAACCCCGGACCAGCAACCCTAAACCCTGAAACCCTAAACCCGAGTGGCTTTGAATTCAGCGTGGTCTCTGCGCACTTCACGAGCATAGACCGCTTCTCCTGCAGCCCAGCTCCAGTTTAGGTTTAGATAGGGTTTAGGGTTGTGGATTCTATTTCCATAGGGATATGTAGAACTATAGATATGTAGCGGTTACATGAGGATAAATTGGGATATACACGGTTTATATATGCGTTACGGCTGAAATCCCAGGGCATAGGCACATCCAAAACATGCAGAATCAGTTGAACCGCCGAATAACCTCCCCTTTGAAGACTAATGGAGCCTTCATGTAGGGGCTTGAAGGGGGTTTTGGATTTACTGTTTGGAGGCTTGAAGGCTTCAGGGGTTGAAAATCCGGACACGCAGGCTTTTGCAAAAAGTGACGGAGGAGATCATGCAGACAACACCTCCGTCTTAAACAGCCATGGAAGCTATAGTCTAAACTCCTCAAAGGGTCGCCGCCAGTTTCTGCTCCATCTCGTCAAAGGCCTCGATGTGCTGCGCAGCCGGCCACGGAACAGGGTCCTCAAAGGCCACAGTGGAAAGCTCTGCAAGCCATGCCCGGGACAACCTCAATGCCAAGAGATCGCTCCACGCAGGCGAGCTCTTTACAAGGGTGTCGTGGAGGTCCCCCAATAGCCTCCGAGGTTTTCCAAAATCTTCTGCACCTTCAGCAGCTTGGACCTCTGCTCAACAATGGCCCTCCTTTGCAAAGGACAGCAGTCTTTGCTTCTACGCTAACTTGACAACCCCAACCTTGAGTCTGTTGGTCGCACGAAACTCTGCCAACAACACATCGCTTACTATTCTGGTACACAGTTGCAGAACTTTGGGGTGTGAGACTTACCTTGTACACACCAATGCCCAGACCTCTGGGAGACCAAAAAACTTCATCCCCCACATACCCCCAGAATAACCGCTATAAAGCGGATGCTAATTATGCAGGTGGACCCACCCGCTATCCCGTAAAAGCACTATTACCGGGCGGGGGTCGACCAAGCTAACAATCGTCAATCTGATTTCAAGGCAAGCTCTGAACTTCAAGCACCTACAGATTTACACCTTATGGTTAGGGTTTAGGGCTTAATTGGGGCATCATATTTGTCTAGAGTTTAAGGTTTAGGGTTTAGGGTTTATTAGTTCAGGGTTTAGGGTTCCTAATTAGGAGATATCTTTCTAAGCTCAAGGCGACAGGGGTTACAGGTAAAATTCTAGACCCCTAAACTCTGAACCCCTGAACCCCTTAGCTCCCCAAAACCTTACACCTAAACCCTAAACCCTAAGCCGCTTCCTCAGGCGACTTGTCTTTGAGGTCCACGGCCATGTCCAACAACTTCGACACAGCGAGATTACAGGCCATGCGGTAGCCCTGGCTATGCACAGGGTCTAAGGTTTAGGGTTTGGGGTTTAGGGTTGGCTAAGGGTCTAAGGTTAGGGTTTCAGCCTTGGCACGACTTAGGGTGACTTAATACCTAGAATATTCATAGATACTGGTTATTCCCTACTAAGAACAAGTAAGTTTTGGATTAACTGGAGATATTATGTGAGCTATAGTCTAAACTCCTAGTATGCCCCTTAATAACCTCTATAGTAGTCCCCGATACGATCCCCCACATATTCCCCCTTTGCTTTCTAAGTCCTGATGACCCTCCAGTTGAGGTTGGGCATGGAAGGGCTTCAGGGTTGGGATGGTTTAGGGTTTAGGGGTTTGGGGTTTAGGGTTTAGGGGTTTACGGTTTGGGGTTTAGGGTTGAGGGTTTAGAGTTTAGGGTTCAGGGTTTAGGGTGTAAGGTTTGTAGTTCAGGGTTTAGGGTTTAGAGCTTAGGTTGTGGGATCTGGGTTTGGAGCTTAGGGCTTCGGGTCTCTTGATTAGGTTTTCAACCCTAGACCCCGAACCGTCTAGGAATTGAGGGCTGAAGGTTGTGTGGGAGAAGTCTCCTCGATCACAGATGCATACACATGTGTGAGGAGTGTAGAGTTTAGGGCTTGGGAACCCTAAACCCTAACCCTAAACCCTAAACCCTAGGGTTTTTGGGTTTATGAAGTTTGCAGGGAGTAAGGATTGGAGTTTGCGAGGTTGAAGGATGTAGGGTCTTGGCTTGTCCATTAAGAGGCGGATCCGTTCAGGGCTTGCAGAATAACCGCAGACTGGGTTTAGGGTTTAGGGGTTTAGGGTTTAGGGTGAGTAGTCCATGGGTACTAAGTTGGAAACAGTGCGTTTGAACCAGTTTGAACCTAACAATTGGGAGCTGGGTTTGGGGTAAAGCTGTAGGGTTCAGGGTCAACGGTCCAAGGCACCTTGAAGGAAACAATGCTTGTAGTCATGGCAAGGAAAATCATGATAACAACCATAATCTCAAGGCACCCAGTGTCCACCTACCGAACAAAAGTGACAGTGGTAACGTCGCAAATTGGTTCGCGGGAACCCATAAAATGCCCCCAGTGCTACTACCTCTAGGTTCCCCTAAAGCATTCTCCCTAAGGGTAAGGAATCTTAATCAAGGAGGCAGAAGAAACTTGAACCTAAACCCTAAACCCTAAGCATTATAAGTGTAAGGGAACCCACGATGATAGCAAGGATGGAATTCCACCATGAAATGCCGTGAAGCCCCTCACTAGTAGGGCTTAGGGCTGAGGAGTCGGGGGACACTTACATTGAGACTACTGAGAGGATTTTGGTGACCCAAACCCCCAACATAACTGAAATGGTCCTAATTTTGAAGGTGAGGTCAGCCAAATCCTCTTGTTAGAGGCGTCCCTGAACAATCACTTGTGGGACTTACAACCACAAGACGGAATATCTCGTTTACAACCAACTACTTGAAGGTCAGGGAGGCTGGGCAAGTATGCTACACATAGCCCGTACCTGAGCAATTGTAACCCCAGTTATGCCTACTAATCTACTTGTTTTTCGGTTCCTTGATATTAAACATGCGATGACGTAGATCCCAGCATACCATGCTCTTGTTCCTAACCCTGAATCAAAAAACCTGAAACCTAAAGCCTTTAGGGTGGGTTTCGGGTTTAGGTTTTTCACTTGTAGCTCCGGAGCCCTCCTACCTATAGAACCCCAATACATACCCCAACCACAACCCCTTAAAGCAATATAATATTTTCTTTTCCCATATGACTGCATAAATCCCCTACGACCTAACACGGAAAGGCCACAGCTGCAGAAGCATCCCCTGAAGCTCCCCCTGCGGTTCAGGGTTTAAGGTTTGGGGTTCATGGTTTAAGGGATTCTCGGTTTAGGTTGTAGGGTTTAAGGTTTGGGGTTTCTCGTTTAAGGGTTTCTGGGTTTAGGTTTCAAGGTTTATGGTTTAAGGGGTTGTGGGTTTAGGTTGTAGGGTTTAAGGTTTGGGGTTTATGGTTTAAG